AAAAAAAGAAAAGAAAGAAAGAAGCCAGACTCGAGCTGAAATCTGTATGGTTCCATTTATATAACATTCTGGAAAAAGCAGTGCTATAGGGACATAAAGCAGATCAGAGTTTGCTAATGGTTGGGAGTGACAGGAAACAGGAGGGAAGTGTTTGGGGTGATCTTGATTGTGGAAGTGGTTATTTGTTAAAACTCATAGTCGTGTAAACTTAAAAAATGGAGAATGTTAATGTATGTAAATTATAGTCAAATAAACCAGACTTAACAAAAGAATTAGTTGCTGGGAAAATGGTTTATTTATTTATTTATTTATTTATTTATTTATTTATTTATTTATTTATTTTTATTGGAGTTCGATCTGCCAACATATAGCATAATACCCAGTGCTCATCCTGTCAAGTGCCCCCCTCAGTGCCTGTCACCCAGTCACCCCATCCCCCTGCCCAACTCCCCTTCCACTACCCTTTGTTCGTTTCCCAGAGTTAGGAGTGTCTCATGGTTTGTCACCCTCTCTGATATGGGAAAATGGTTTATAAAGCAAAGTTACCACTGGGCCAACATTATTACCATTATAAGGGCCAATGAGGACAATTCTCCTCAGAGCAGTTTGGGAGTGCGCTGAGCCAGAATGAAGTAATAATTATCAATTATTTAATTTATACTTTAATTAAACATTTATTGTGCCTTCCAAATGCTGGGGGGGATGAGAGAAGAGTCAGGTGCACCTCCTATTCACAAAAGGCTCACAATGTAGTGGGAGTGGGGTAAGAAAAAGAAAATTATAGTATAACATGATCATTATCTTTGATAATAACTGAAGAATCAGTATATAATTAGACTCTTCACACATTACACAATTAAAAGGACAAGCTAAGCATTATGAATACACTCCTCACCCCTTACTTAATAGCAGTGGGATGAGGATAATAAAAGCTAGTGTTTATTGACTGCTTACTTTGTGAGAGGTGTTATTCTAAGCACCCATTTAAGCCTCACAAAAACCCTGAGTTAGGAGCCATCATAGGTGAGTTTATTTGCCCATGGTCTCCCAGCTGAAAGGATAGCAAATGGATTTAAACCTTGGCATGACGGCCATCTCCTAACCATGACAGTATACTGTAGCTAGAGAGAAAGAGCGACCTGGACCACCTAGACTACCAAAATTAAAAATTGGCAACTGGTTGTTCTAACTCTGCCTTAGTTTGCCTAACATCAGAGGACAGAGTCAAGCACGCAAAAATCTCTGTGTAAGACACCAGGTTAAACCATTATTCCTCTTATGATCCTTTTCTGTGCTTATCATTTACCCACCCACCCCTATTACTAAGGTAATATGTACTTATTATAAAAAAATGGAAGAGGCAAAAAAAAAAAAAAAAAGACAAACAATACCCAAGAAATCAAATTAAACAAAAAAAAAATCTTTATCCATCCATAGTCTCACCACCCAGCGGTAAATACTGCTAGTATTTTGGCACATTTCCTTCTAGTCTTTTTAAAAAATATATTTTATTTATATAGCTGAGATCATACTTAATTTTGGACTTTTTTTTTTTTGCTTAACATCAGAGCATGAACTCTTCATAAACATTATTTTAAATGGATATATAATAATCCATCACATAGATATTCTACAATTAATTAACTGTTCCTTCACTGTTGGATATTTAGGTCATTTCCAATTTTTTCACTATTATAAATAAAACTATTATTAACATTCTAGTTCATAAATCTTACAGATTATTTTTTTAGGATAGTTTCCCAGAAATGTAATTACTAGGTTAAATGTCAAGAATATTTTAAAGATTACACAGAGATGTAGTATTCTTTAAAAACAACAAACACATTCTTTACAAACAAATGGAAAGGTTTCTAAGGGGTCAAAAGTTGTTTGTATGTTTGTTTCTGTGTATAAGTATGGAGGGGGGCGGATGAGAGAACTGGGAACTTTCTCACTACTTGGTCAGTGTGGCTAACCTGACTTCTTCTCTTGTGAGCTACTGCCCAATTTTCAGGGGCACATGCTGATTAAATATTGATCACTGAGTGCCACCAAATGGAAGCAAATTTCGTGTATGGATTTGTATTCCTTTTGCAAGTATATTGTCCACAGAATCAGAAAGACTCAACACTTGTGTTTTTCACAGGCAGAGAGCCCTTTCACTGCCATGATCTCAACAGCTTTTCATAGCTCCTGAGTGAAATGGGTTGGGACAGCCATTAACATTCCCAGGTCATTGGTTAGAAACTCAGACCCAGGAAGAAGTGACTTACCCAAAGTCACAGAGCTAGTTGGAGAGAGCTGGGACTAGAGTTTTAGTCTCATGGCTCTAAGGCAAAAGTTCCTGTTATGGACTGAATTATGTCTTCCTCCCATTTGTAGCACCCCCCCCCCAACCTGCAGTGTCACTATATTTGAAGACAGCCTATGAGGAGGTAAAAAAGATTAAATTAAGTACTAGGATGGGGCCTTGCTCTGATAGGATTAGTGTCCTTACAAGAAGAAGGAGAAGACCAGAGCGCTCTCCCTGCACATACAAAGAGAACAGACCACAGGAGACACAGCAGAAGGCAGCTATCTACAAGCCAGGAAGAGAGGCCTCACCAGAAATCGACCCTGCCAACGCCATGAGCTTAGACAGCCTCCAGAACTGTGAGAAAATAAATTTCTGTCATTTAAGTCACCCCGTTTGTGTTATTGTGTTATGGCAGCCCTAGGAGACTAATATAGATTTTGGTACCAAGAAGTTGAGGGGGGGGGCGCTATTGCTATAACAAATGCCTAAAAATGTGGAAGTGTCTTTGGAACTGGGTAATAGTTAGAAGCTGGATAAGCTTTGGGGTACATGCTAGAAAAAACACCTAGGTTGCCTTGAAGGGATTGTTGATAGGAATCATATGTTCTGGTGAGGGCTGAGGAATAAAAGAAGAGCTGTTAAAGAAAGAATCTATTATTAGGGTGCCTGGGTGGCACAGTTGGTTAAGTATCTGACTCTTGGTTTCAGCTCAGGGTGTGATCTCAGCATTCTGGGATCAAGCCCCACATCGGGCTCTACACCCTACAGGGAGTCTGCTTGAAATTCTCTCTCCCCACCCCCCCCCCCAGCCCTCCTCATGCTGTCTCTCTCTCTCTCAAATAAGTCAATGAAGTTTATTTTTAAAGAAAGCATCTATTATTTTAGAGAAGACACACATCATCATGGACAGAATGTTGCTGGAACTATGAAGTTTAAGGTGATTCTGATGAGGCCTCACCCAGAGCATGGAAATGGAAACTGGCAGAAAGGTGATCCTAGTCGTAAAGTGGCAAAGAACTTGTCTGTTTTGTGGAAAGTAGAAATTGCAAGTGATGAACTTGGATATTTAGCTAAAGAGATTTCTAAGCAAAGTGTTTAAGGTGTGGTCTTGTTTCTCTTTGTGGTTTATAACAAAACATGAGATGAAGGGATAAATGGAGGGGAGTGCCAAGCAAAAAGGAACCAGAGTTTGAAGATTTGGAAAATTCTCAGCGCATCCATGTTGCAAAAACCAAAAATATGTGTTCTAGGGAGGGCGCCAAGGGTATGCCTGGCCAACTACTCTATGCAGTTCTATGCATGGGCCAACTACCCATGCAGTTCATCAGCCATCTCAGCAGAAACTAGGAATAGAGATGGGTTGTATACCAGCAGGGACACTTTCAGTTTGGACCAAAGGGAACAGAGAAGGGGTAAAATAAAGGAAAGCTGTTGGACTTCTGGGATTCTACAGGACAGGACATTCAAGCTATTTGTGTCTTGTGCTTCCCAATACCCAGTATTTTGTTGAGTTGTGCAAACTTGGGTTTGAAGAGGCTCAGTGAGAGGAACAGACGACAAGACATCTGAGGCTTGGTTTCTAGAGCCAGCCTTGGCTTTGCCAAAACTTGCTAAGGGATCTTAGGCAAGCCACTTCTCCCTGATTATCAGTTAACCATCTGCAAACTAAGGTGTGCTGCATCAGGCTCTGGAGTTAGACAGATGTGGGCTTGAATCTAGACTGACATTAGTTGCATGACCTTGCACAAACTACTTAGCCCCTTAGGTTTGGTTTTCTGGTCCGTAAGACAGGGTAAAGGCACCTACCCTGGGGATTACTGGGCTAATTAAGAGATGATGTATGCAGAGTCCCGGGCACATTTTAAAGGACAATAAAGTAGTTCATTTCCTAGATTGATTGATTGATTATGCTAATGTATGCAAAGCACAGAGGCCAGTTTCCGGCACTTAGTAAGGGCTGTATTGGTCCTAGTTACCATTTTTTTTCTTATTCTAACAGATAGTAAGTCCTCAGTGAGTGAGCTCCTTATTATTGCTTTCAGGCCTCAGTGGCCCTCATTTCCCTCCAAAGCCCTAAATCCTACCTATACCTAATTCCGCCCCCCCCTCCGTCTCCCCCTCCACTCCCAATGTAGCCGGTGGTCTTTCCCGTCCTAGGACTTTCGTCTACTCGGTTATCTGGGCCTGGTGCTCCATTTCTCTTCCTCCGGAGCTCAGATGTCTTCCCCACTGGGAATCCTCTGTCCACCGCCCTCCTCCTCCCCGTCAAAGGAATGGCTCCTCGATTTGTGTCCTGCTAGGAAAACAACTCCATGTAGCGCCTGGTTCTTTGCGCCGGGTTAGCTCTTTGGCGTCGGCCTCCGGCCTCCGAGAGCAGCGGCCTCCGGGCCCCGGGGCTGGGCGGGTCGCCTCTGGGTGTCACCCCAGGGTCTAGCACGGTGCGGGACACAGGAAACAGCCCCCCGCCCCCGCCCCGCCCGGAGGGGTCCACGGTAGCCCCTGGAAGCCCCTGGAAGCCCCTGGAAGCCCGGGCCCCCGGCCGCCCCCAGGCCCGCCCGCCGCTCGCCGCCCCCGGCCCCCGCCCCCCGGCCCGCGCCGCTCCCCGGGGTCCCCGGCCCCTCCCGCGCTCCTCCCCCCGCGGCGGGCCCTGCGGAGCCGAGCGAGGGCGGAGCGTCGCTGTAGATGGCCGGGAGCCGGGCGGGGAGGCGCTGGGCGGGCAGCGGGCTCCAGACGCGCCGCCGCCGGGCCGGGGGCTGGCATGGCCGCGAGCTAGGGGCCGCGGAGCGCGCGAGGGGCCGCGGCCACCATGCCCCGGGGCGCGGGCGCCGTCCGGCTCTGCCTGCTGGCGCTCGCCCTGCCCGGGTGGACCACAAGTAAGTGGCGGGCGGCGCGGGCGCGGCGCGGCGCGGGGAGGATGCGGCGGGCGGGCTGGTGGCCCCGGGACCTGGGAGGCGCCCCGCGACCCGGCGGAGCTCGGAGCCGCCGCTTTGTTCCCACGTGGTGCGCCCCGGGAGGGGGGTCGCGGAGAGCCGGGGACCCCGAGCAGGCCCCTCCCCGGCTCGCCCCCCTCTCCTGTCTCTCTCTTTCTCTAGTTTTCCTGCCTTTTTCTTTTTATTTCTTTTCTTTTTTTTTCTTTTTTTGGCTTCTCTTCCCGCTGCTTTCCCGGTCTCTCCTCGTTTCTTCGTCTTTGTGTGTGTGTGTTCCCATAAATATGTTGATAGGATCGAACCGCGCCGTAGGACGCGCAGCGTGTGCCTCGCATTCTCCATCTCCCCTTCACGTGATGAGCCCACACCGTTACATTCCCCCAAAAGACACGGTTTTAATGACTGTGGGTCACAGCAAGAAACCGCAGAAGTGTGATCTTCAAAAAGTCAAAGACATGACTCCCATAGATATAGGATGGATGGGTGGCAGAGAGTCCTTCAATTCATTAATGAGGCGGTGAGTAGGATGGTGAAGCCGCTTCAAAGCACCAGAGGAACGGGTGGTACAGGCATCAGAGAAAACGTTGAAGCCATGTGCTGGCACAGATACAAAAGCGGTCAGTGCCCCCATAGGGTCAACCAACCATCATTCTTGGTTCTCTTTGCACCATACTCAAGTCATTTGCATCTCTACCAGTCAAAAATCTACAGCTGACGTATAACTTCACAGAGTATGGTCTTTTAATTCGTTGTGAATTAAAGTCAAACCAAGGTGCATTCCCCTAGAAAAATTTGGTGATCTAGGGGAGGGCCTCTTTATGACATTGAAAGGACATCCTGCTTGCTTTTTGCCTCATTCGCAAGTTTTGAACAATTTTTCTTAAGCTGTACTGTCTTCCTCTACTCTCTAGCCTTGCTTTTAGTATTTTTTTTTGTGCGATCATAAAGATAATTTCATTCTTTAAACATTCCATGTGTTTTTTTTTTTTTTTTTGCCAAAAATCTGGACTCATCAGAGCCACCAGAGTAGGGATATGCTTCCCTTGGTTTCCCCATGAATATCAAGCACCTAGTACTTGGTAGATAGTTAAGCATTCAGAAAACACGTTACAAATAAATGAATGCATTGCTTCTGATTTTTACCAGTATGATGAAACTAATGCTTGTCTAATGAGATCATTTTTTTTCAGATACATTTTGATTGAGAATACGTTATATCAGTAATCTGAAAGGAACATCAATCACCCATAATCCTGCCACTCTACCAGAATAACGGGGGCCATCTTTCATACCACTCATTGTATTCTATATGATCGATGTGGTTCGTTTGGCAAGAATAGATTTTGGAGTCCTCTCTCGCACCCTAGGAGTCCTATGGACTTGGCCTATTCTTGTGGAGACTAATTTATCTAGGTCTTGGGAAATTACCATTTTATTAAGGTTACCTGCAAGAAAGTGCTTATAGTCTGCAGTGCCTAGAACAAGTCTTACCTCAAACAGGTTTCAGTTCACCTTTCTTGAAAAATAGAAATCCTGCTACTTGTCTTGTTTTGAGGATAAAGGGAAACCAAGCGGTGGTAGTGATTTGTAAAGTAGGAAGTGATCTACAGATGGAAACTTGCCATTAGGCATCTTGAGGTAATGTGATGATGCTCTGTGGATCTGGGAGCAGTTTCATGGTGACTCTCTGTAGTACTGCTGTGAGATAAGCAGGCAGGTATCATTGTCTTCATATTACAGATGAACAAACCGAAGCTCTGTGGAAGTAACCCATGGGCCGAACTTCCAGAACATACCCAGAATCCGACCACTTCATTCCTCTCTACTGAGCTCATTTCAGTCTGAGCCACCATCGTCTCTCACCAGGTCCCCAGCCTCGCCTTCTTGCTTCTATTCTCACTTGCACTCCCTCCTCCACTGTACCCCCCTCCTCCACCATCTCCACCCAGCTGGCAGAATGATCTTTTAAAAACTGAATACAGCTCATATTGCTCTGTGTCTAAACCCTCCAGTGCCTCCCAAGTCTATTTATAATAAAATCCAGACACTTTCCGTGGCCTCTGTGATATCAGATGTATGGCTGTCTTGCTGACCACATCTCCTACCAGCTTCCCTGCTCATTTACTAGATTCTCGTTACCTCTTCCTTCTGCTTGTTCCTTAAATGGGCCAAGTCCACTTGTGCTCAGGCAGGATGATTGCACTTGCTAGTGCAATCCTTCTCCCTGGGGCATTCTTCCCCCAGATCTTTTCACGACTGCCTTCTGGTCTCTCAGGTCTCAAATGCCATCTTTGCTAATCATCCTGTCTAAAATAGGCACCTCCTCTTCATGGTTTCTTTATTCCATGACCCTACTGGACTGTTTGAGAATATTTGTGTATTGGGCATCTCCCATCTGTAGAAAGTAAACTGTGAGGAGGACAGAGACTTTGTTATCCTTGTTTTCCAGTATGGCCAACAACTAGCAGAGTGCCTGACCCATAGTAAGTGCCAAGAGCCTGGCATCCAGCAGGCTTTCTGGTGACCCAATAGGGGTTTTTCTCCATTTGACAGTGGATGCCTAGCTTAGCTAGGGTGCAGAGTTCTGGAATTCCAATGGTTGGGCATCCTGTATTGCAGGAGGAAATGGGGAAGGCAGCCCCCTGCTCCAGCATGAACGAATAATACCTCAGTGGAAGACTGCAGAAAGCCCCACGAAAGAAAAGGTAAGACACAAAATGTCTCATTTTCGGAGGCAGGAGCCAACAAGCCCATTCTGGGAGGTGTGGGACCACCTTCTCTACTTTCCTGGAAGCCCAGGAAAGTTCTGGTAGTTCTGTTTCTGGCCTACTCTATCCTCTCTGTGCATTGGTTTTGAAAATCCCAGATGGGATTTTCCTTCATCTTGTGACAAACTTTTAGAAAACTTCCAGATGCTATTAGTTGAGGAAATGAAAATTATTAATGCTGACACAAGCTAAGTGCAAATGTGTGTCACAAAAATCACTAGCTCTCAAATGGAATTGATTAAATATTGTCACTGTTATTTTTGCTCTATATAATACATGCTTCACTTTATTGATGAAATAATGTACTTGGAGAGAAAAATAATAATTCAAGCTATTTTTAAGAGGCAGGGAAGGATCTAGTACCAAGGAATATATCTTATAATGCAATAGGCTTCTTGGGCCATGACACCAGCAAAATGCATGGGTTTTAATCAAGGGGAGGGAACAAGACAGAAAGCATTATCCTGTCATGCAAAGAGGACCTGTACATCTAGGATATTCTTTGTGGTTCTGGTCTTTATAGTTCAAGTGAGTCATGAAAGAGCTAGAAAGGAAGACATGATTGCTGTGTGCCAGCTATGGGACCTTCTACTTTCTGAAGTTCAGATTCCTTATTTATAAAATAGAGCTTAGAGGGGATAGGAAGAAAGAGGACTGGGGAGAGGGGATAGTTAATAAGGTCCTTTGGGTCTCAAAGGGTCCATGATTTATTGGGCAGCATATAAAAGCAAGATTATAGTAGAGAGTGGAGAAAGAGCTGTGTCAGGAAAGATTTCAGACCCTGTGGCTTATGATTTTGGAAAGGAGGGAGACATGCCTGGAATCCTTGAGGTTATGGCTAGAGTAGTACAGATACGTCCAAAAATGCTTCAATTTGAATTTCTTAAGGGAACTTCCAGCAAAAAATTTAGGAGAAATGAAAGTAACATTTTATCCTAAAGACAACAAGAGCACAGAATTCATTTCATCAAAAAGTAGGAAGGCTGAAAATAGCTTCAGGAAAAATCTAGACAGATTGATGGATGGCCATCCTAGAGCAGGTTATTTTTAAAAAATTAGGGTATTGGATAGTCCAACAGATCCATTATTACTCAAGGAATGGATCCGATAGTTTCTGTAGAGGTTCTTTGTTCTTTCCAGATGTGGGATGCCCAGCATCCTCAGGAAGGGCTGAGAAACAAAGTGGAGCTCCAATTCCTGTCTTTATTCCTAGCCGTGGTCTGCCCAGAATCTGGGTCATTGTAGTTGGTAGGAATACTGAGCACACTGCCTAGTGCCGTAAGTATCTGTTGAATGAACGAACGAACGAATGTCAGAGAGAGATAGTAGAAGGTAGGTTTCACGCAGGCCTCTTATTCTCATTTATGTAATTAATCTATTTATCAAACATTAATTGAATGCTCACCGCATACTAAATATTGTACTAGATCTTAAGGGGGTTGCACATACGCGGGACAGATTTCTGATACCCTGTGGAGCTGGTAACCTATCTAATCTACCCCAAACCTTTCCCTGTGGGATGTATAAACAGCGGGTCAGGCCGCTGCCTCCTTAGGAGAGGTGATGTTGCCCCTTCCTAGCACAGAGTGGAGTTGCAAGGGAAAGCTGAGTAAGGCTGGACAGGGAAGTGCCTAGATCTTGGTAGAGCTGTTTCATTGTTGTGCTTGAAGTGTCCTGGAAACAGGGAGCAGCATATTTTAAGTATCAGGGTCTGAGCATCTTCCACACCAGAGAGAAATATTTTTAGATTACCCACTTATAAATATTTGTACTCATGTTACAGCTTGTGTCTTTCTGGAGGAGAGGTGGCAGTGCTCTGATGTGTGTCAACTTTCCTTTCTTGTGTGGGCTGTCACATTGCCATCCACTCCTTGAAAGAGGGAATTGCTCTGTCACTGTGTGCTTTTCCTCAAATGCCCACTTGGGACTATGTCCCTGATGCCTCATGTCACTGGGCAGGGTCCTTGCTCTGGAACATCCCAGAGTAAAGTAGCAAGGGTTCAGCAACCAGGGTAGGTGTTATCAGAGCTGAATCAGGACATCAGAAACAGACATGTGGATCCCTTAGTGAAAGTTATTGGGCAAACAACCACCTAACTTCCTCTCCTCATGGTTTTGAAATGTCCCTTTTTAAGAGAAGTCAGTAGGATGAATTAGTACAAAAAATAGTGAAGAACACAGTTGCCCAAGCTTCCTGGATCAAAACGCTCAGATCTCATTGGAGCCCTTGGTAGCCTGAATGTCTCAGGGATGCCCAGTGCCCAGGACCCTAATGGGAAGTGTATCTGGAGCCAAATAAAAGGATTGCGCTTGGAAGAGGTAGGCCCCCAACCAGAGGTGGCAAAGCAGTGGGCCCACTTTCTCCAATGCTGTAACTAAGCTTTGGAGTCAATCTTAAAGGGATAGATGCCCCACTGTAGTGAGAGCTTCTGTGGACTGAAAAAGACTTAAAGAGTTTATCAGTTCCTTGGTTCCACGTTAAAGAACATGGGTCTAAAACACACCAAAGTATTGATCCTGTTTTTAATATGTTTAAATATGCAGACATCTCATTTCAAATAAATAGTTTTTCCCTTTGAAATAAGTTCAACCGTCTTAAGTTGAATTGTTGAAGCATGGAAGTAAGTTTATTATGACTCGGATTTTTAATTTCTTTGAAATTTCCCTCAATAATAAGATAAAAAGAGATGAAAAGTCCATTACTTAGAATATAAAGACAATTCTAAAAACATAGAAAGATACACAAAGAAAAGAAAATTAACCCAGCATCTTACTGCTGAGAGGTCACTAGGGTAACATTTGGATTTATTTTTTTCCACGAAAGTTTTTAAATAAAACATATGGTGTTGTTTTGAGCTTTTTGTGTGGTGAATAATTATCATGTATACTTTCTTGATAGATTAAAAATTATTTGAAGTCATCATTTTTTTTCATCATTTTTAATGATGGTTGAATATTTTGTCACATGATTGATCATCATTTATTTAACTATTCTCATATTTTTGGACATTCAAGTTGTATTTCACTAGTCATTATTACAAGTAATGAGCATCCCTATGTATAAACCTTTGCCCATGCTTCCATTTGTTCTCTTTAGATAGAGTTTTATATTACTGAGTCAGAGGGTCTATGCATTTAAAAACTCTTAGTCCATCTGTCAACTTATTTTCTAGTGCTTTGATATCAATTTAAATTTTTACTGGTAGGATATGAGAGTGCCTATTTTTCAGTATTGCTCTACTGCATTGTGGTTTATGGGTTTTAAAAAATATTTGTCACTGTAAAAGTTATCTTTAAAAATTTTTGTTTTTTGGTGGGGAGCAGGTACCAGTGATGTTGAACATGTTTTTCATGCGTATTGATCATCGTATGATATCTTAAGTGATCTCTTCTGGGTGTATTGCTCATTTGGTCATCTGTAAGCTTTTCTTATATGTAAAATGTATCTTCTTTTGGACCTTTAAAACTTTATTTTTTTAAGTTTATTTATTTTTTTTATTTGAAAGAGAGAAAGAGAGAGAGGGAGAACATGAGCCAGGAAGAGGGGAGGAGGCAGAGGGGGACACAGACTCCCCACCGAGCAGGGAGTCCCATGCGAGGCTCAATCCCAGGACCCCAGGATCATGACCTGAGCCAAAGGCACACACTTAACCCACTGAGCCACCCAGGTGCCCCAGACCTATGAAACTTTAGTTAGAGGTTCTTCTAGGTGTCTCCTCTGAAATGGTTGGGGATATCCAAACTGGGAGCCAAAATGAAATAAAATAAGAACTTACTATGAAGAGGGTTCTCCTGGTATCTTAGATAACAGCCAACATGCAACAGGAGTTTTCTGTGTGTAGGAACTATGACAAATCACTGACATTTACTGTGTCACTTTATCCCTACAAGATTCCCATAAAGCTGACTGTTATTATCTCTATTTTATAAATGAGCAAATTGAGCTGTAGGAAGGTTCAGTAACGTGCAGGTTCACACAGCCACAGACAGCACTTGAGTCCAGAACTGACACACAGAAAATTTACTGTTGAAGATCTTGTTGTCGAGTGTTTGCCAGACCTACAAGAAAGCACTTATATCACATTTTAGCTGCTTTTCTCTGTGTTTGAGGACAAGGCAGATGGGGGAGGGGAACTGGGTCCTTTGGGGATTGAAGTCATTTCATGTTTGGGCTGGAAATGCAATTGACCCTTTCTCGTTCACTTACTGTGGATCAATGTCAGAGCACTGTGCTATATCCTATGCCTGTCCCTGGAGCCTCGTCCCCTGCTTTAAGGAACTGACATTCTTTTGTTGTTGCTTCTAGCATCCACTCAAAGCTGAACTCAGGATAACAGCCGAGGGGCAAGAGCTGATCCTGGACTTGGAAAAGAATGAGTAAGTGGACTCCTCCTTTGTCTCCAATGAAACAATTCACTTCCCTGTCAATGCAGGATGCAGGTGCCACTGTTTTGGAAGGACACAGTTTGTAAAGTGACCCAAGCTCTTAATTTGTGCTTCCTTTGCGGGGAGAGTCTTGCAAAGACAGCATATCCACAGTCTCTTGACTTGCTGTGAAATTTCTGGACCATTTAACGTCTTTCTTGAATTTCCTCTGGCTGTATTTCCAGGGCCTCCACTAGTTCACTGCAGGCAAACAGGGGTCTGTGTGTGTGTGTGTGTGTGTGTGTGTGTGCGTGTGCGTGCGCGCGCGCGTGGTGTGATGAAGGGAGGGGTGGACTGGGGGACTTTGGCAGCTGACTTACTAGCTCCAGCAAGGCGCATGGCAGGAAGTGAAGGAGATTAGAGGAAAATAGCAGAAAGCAGAGGGGCAGGGTGGAGTGTTGTGGGATTTGGCGCCTCAAAAGCGGGCTGCTCCATCTGTTCCGGGTCAGCTAAGTCTCAGATTCAGCCAATAAGGGCATGGTCAGCAGTCCCCCGGCTGCATCAGGCTGATTCTTCCATCTTCCTAACCTCATTCATCTCGGGTGGCTGCCTGGCTCAGGAATACTTCCACATTGATTTGCCATCAAGCACAGTTGTATCTTGATTCATGTTATTGAGCAGGTGAATAGACATAATGTATGGCCGCTCCTCGGCCATTCCTGATCTGCTTGGCCGTGGGAGAGCTCTCCTTACTTGGCTGGGGGATGCTGAGGCCTCTGGTATTTTCCCACTAACTGGTTCTGCCTCACTACCCTCGCAGATAAGGCTGCATGGCTCAGAAACTGCATGCCTCCTCTTGGCAGCCTCTGGAGTCCTCTGGAAGCAGATGAGTAATCAGACGCAACACTGCCAAGAAAGGGATGGATAGGGACCTTCCCGTATCTGGAAGGATGGGAATGGCTGCTAAGCTTGGGTGGAAAGCAAGAATATAAATTATTCCAAATTTGGGCTTTTGGATACTTGCAAAGAAGTTTTGGAAGTGTGGTCAAAGTATGCCTTAAGCAGCATGGACAGTAAAGGGCCTCATCTGCATCTCTACTCTGCCTCCAGTATATGGTGGCCTCCAGGAAGCTGGAAAGATGGGCATCTCAATCATTTTTGCTACTTTCCTCCTAACAGTGAAACCACCCCAAGAATGGGATCCTTTTGTCCCATTTCCCTGGGACAGACTTGGGTGGCTATGTCCCCAGAGGGGTTAGACCCTACCTGCTTGGGATTTCTTCTTGTGTTGTAAAATTCCTCTGGTCCTGCAGAGACCCTTGGAGGGTTTCTTCTTATTGGTCTCTCAGGAACCTGCTTTAGTTTCCCATGGCCCCAGCCTTGTAGCTCCGATCTGAATGTGCCATCACCACCTGAGCTGAATCCATCCTATTTGGTCTCAGGTGGTCCATTTGACCCTTAAGCTTCCTCTGGGTGCTCCAAGTGATGGGTGGGTGGGTGGGTGAGGGGTGTCATGGGTAAATGGGATCCCAGGACTCATCCGTCCCTCATGTTTTGGAACCTGTGCAAGAGGCCATAGGAAGTTAGAACAGGAAGCTGTCTTAGAAAACACTAGGTGTGACAATCTTCTGTGTGGTTATAGAAACTTTGAATCAGAGAGAGTTAGGCAGGCAGCTGTCTAAGATCACACAGCCAGTAAACGAGAGATGTGAGAGACTAGGATCATTTATGTTCTTGGCTTGGGTCTGGAGGCACAGAAACTCAGGATCAGCTCCCTAGCTGTGTAATCTGGGGCACATTGCTGCAAATTGTGGAAGCTCAGCATTCTCATCTATAAAATGAGAATAGTACTAATTTCATAGGGTGATCGAGCACGAGGCAGCGTGCACAGGTGCTTACAGCACACATAGTGAGTGATCCGCTACCGTGGTGACTTTGATTGTCCCACCTGAGAGCTTCCAGAGGAGAGTCCTCGTGCAGTTCTCTTGTCTGCTGCTCCAGGCAGCTCTTTCGTCTCCCAGTGAGCTGCGGGAGGCTGGATGTGGTTCCTGGCTTCCTTGAGTTGGCAGAAGGCAGGAGACTTGACAAAAATGGAAGCAGCAGAGCCAAGCAATATGACCTCATCAGGTATCCCTGGGGGACGGCTTCCTGCTATTTTCGTCCAAACTGGGCTTTTTGTTTTTGAACACGTGTTAGCAAGCGGAACTTGAACTGCACACGACTTCCTATTGTGTTTATTTCCCAAAACCTTCTCATTCATGGTGCTTGTGAGTCCGGATTCAAATCCGCTCGGGGGATGGGGGGGGGGGGGGAGAGGGAGGGATGCTTTTCTGATTTTTCAAATTGCCGTTGTTAAAGTTTTTGTAATCCCATGTTATTTCAAGGGAAGCTAGGCCCTGTGCCAGGTGCCTTCTCAAGCTCTGGTTCTTAATTTCCTCAACGGATTTATACATTCATCTGTTATGCATCTGTAGCATTGTTGGCAGCAGTGTCACTACTGGGGACACGGCTGTGACTAGAACAGTTCTGCTCTTAGGAGCTTATATTCTCATGGCAGGAACAGTAGACGGATAAGCAAATGAACTGTCGAATGTCCAGAGACAAGCACTATGGAGGAAACCAAGTAGGGGGCGAAGGGAGGGTTCTGGAGGGAGGTGCTTTTCAGAATGGTGGTCAAGAAAGGCCTTGGTGGTGAATTGATACTGGAGTCAAGACCTGAAGGAGGTGAGGAAGTGAGCCACGTGGATGGCTAAGAGACGGCAACTCCAAGGAGAAGCAATAGCAAGTGCAAAGCTCCTGATAGGTTATGAAGTTTGCCTTTCCTCGCTGCCCTTCCCCTACCCCCCAGCATACATTTCCCCATATATGGGATTCTCAGGCCTCTCAGGGCAAGGGCTTCTGGGACTGTGAGGGAAGGGAGAGAACATTTCTAATTTACTTTTCATCATCCCGAGGTGTCTGGCCTTCTCCCATCAAGTAAAGCCCACGTGCTAATGCATGGCCCAAAATAGCAGTGAGCAGGCATTTAATGGAATTCGCATATAGAGAGATTGCCAAGAATGGTGAGGATGGAAGAGCAGGAGGATGGGCCAGGAGAACGGGCATGTAGTAAATGGGCCTTCAGCTCAGGAGGCAGACACCCCAAGTTATCTTAATTCAATAGTGTGACAGCTGGCAGCCTTTTCCTGCTGTGAAGCAACTCAGAATAAATGGATGGCATTCCCATGGGAGACGCATGCCCTTCATTGAGTGCAGGTGAAAAGGAGTGGTATTGTGGGGCTCATCTCAATGTGGCTTTCATGTGTGACGGTCCTAGGTTCAGATCCTGGCTCTGCCACTTACTAGCTGTATGTTCTCTTAAGTCTTGGTTCCTTTATATTCCCTGGAATATAAAGATAGCCCATGCCATGAGCCATGCGGAGGATGAAGTGAGATGGCATGTGGAAAGCCAGCACACTGCCTGGGTTATATTCCATACTCACTAACTGGCAGCTACTGTTATGTCTTGTTCACAATTTTTTAACTGCAAAAGTAATACATGCTCATTGTAAAACATGTAGCAATACCAAAATATGATAAGTAAAGGAGTGAAAGTCTCCTCCCTTCAAGGAGAATCCATTGTCAACAGTTTGGTGGGCATACTCTGGACCTTTTCTACGTGTGTGAGAACACACACATAGATACTCATAAACACAACTGACAGAAGCTCATGTACGTGGCTCTTGTAGGGGAGGGAGGAGCAAAAGTGAGATTATACTATATATATTGTTCCATACTTGTTTTTTTTTTTTTTTTTTTTTTTTATTTTATAAATTAATTTTTATTGGTGTTCAATTTACCAACATACAGAATAACACCCAGTGCTCATCCCGTCAAGTGTCCCCCTCAGTGCCCGTCACCCATTCACCCCCACCCCCCGCCCTCCTCCCCCTCTACCACCCCTAGTTCATTTCCCAGAGTTAGAAGTCTTTATGTTCTGTCTCCCTTTCTGATATTTCTCACACATTTCTTCTCCCTTCCCTTATATTCCCTTTCACTATTATTCATATTCCCCAAATGAATGAGAACATACACTGTTTGTCCTTCTCCGGTTACTGTGGCCAAGTTCAAAAAGGGTGTTGCCTGAGTTCTCTGGGATTTTGATGGAATCTTGTCTCACATTTAGATCTTTCATCTATTTTGAGTTTATCTTTGTGTATGGTGCAAGAGAGTGGTCCAGTTTCATTCTTCTGCATGTGGATGTCCAATTTTCCCAGCACCATTTATTGAAGAGACTGTCTTTCTTCCAGTGGATCGTCTTTCCTCCTTTATCGTATATTAGTTGACCATAAAGTTCAGGGTCCACTTCTGGGTTCTCTATTCTGTTCCATTGATCTATGTGTCTGTTTTTGTGCCAGTACCACACTGTCTTGATGAACACAGCTTTGTAGTACAACCTGAAATCTGGCATTGTGATGCCCCCAGATACGGTTTTCTTTTTTAAAATTCCCCTGGCTGTTTGGGGTTTTTTCTGATTCCACACAAATCTTAAAATAATTTGTTCTAAGTCTCTGAAGAAAGTCCATGGTATTTTGATAGGGATTGCATTATACGTGTAAATTGCCCTGGGTAACATTGACATTTTCACAATATTAATTCTGCCAATCCATGAGCATGGAATATTTTTCCATCTCTTTGTGTCTTCCTCAATTTCTTTCAGAAGTGTTCTATAGTTTTTAGGGTATATTTTGAGAACCATTTGAATGGTAAATGGTTCTCTAACCTTTTATTTTCAGGTTGTAGGTGTCCTTCTGTCTAAAATGAGTCTCTTGTAGACAGCAAATAGATGGGTCCTGCTTTTTTATCCAGTCTGAAACCCTGCGCCTTTTGATGGGGTCATTAAGCCCATTCACGTTCAGAGTTACTATTGACAGATATGAGTTTAGTGTCATCATGATATCTATTTAGTCCTTGTTTTTGTGGATTGTTCCACTGAACTTCTTCTTAAAGGGGAGTTTTAAGAGTCCCCCTTA